TCGTTAGGGAGGGAGTGATTTCGTTAGGGAGTGAAATTGTTAGGGCGTGAAATCGTTTGGGACTGATATCGTTAGGGAGTGATATCGTTAGAGAGTGAAATCGTTAGGGAGTGAAATCGTTAGGGAGTGATATCGTTAGGGAGTGAAATCGTTAGGGTTACGGTTGCATTTTCCCATTCTTTTGCTTTTTCTCCGCCTCAAGCTTCTTCTCCGAACGTACAGCTTTACGATCAACCGGAAGCATTTATGCGTAAATATATCGTGATGTTCCTGATGAAATTGTTTTTTTTAAATGCCCAATAATCACATTTAATGGATTTCAATGTCAATTAAGGCCTTAATTTCAAAAATAATAATTTATTAACTTTTAATGATTTTTAAAGTAAAGTTCTGCAACAATGGACTCTGGCAAACTTTAAAAAAAATGAACGCCTGGAAATGAAACATCTGCAAGCTCAATGAGGGTTAAAAATTATCGCAATTTAGACTTTTTGCAAAGTCGTTCAGCGCTAATAAACAGAGGAAAAATATATTTAGGATTAGAGCCTGGAGCTACCCTCACTACCACACCACATCTGGATGATGTAGATCTAGAGAGGAGAAAAGTAGACTCACTTTTAGGGAATTCCTGGTGGGCTCTGATTGGTAGATGGGCCGATGGGGACATTGCGTCTTTGGGAGGTTTGCACCGCCCTTTTTTCCTCGGGTCTTTCAGGGCATTAAGCACAGGTTCAGTCTGCATCTCCTGCAGGGAAAAAAAAAAAAAAAAAAGAAGCACAGACTATTTTAGCAGACATCGATTTACTAACGAAAGAGCAAAACGGTTCTGAAGTTTGTCATTTGGAAACCTGCTTTAACAAATAGCTTTTTCCTAAAGCAACAGAAGGATTTGGACATAACCTACCACAGCTTAGCTCTGCTTTCACTCTAAATGACAGGCTGCCCTGTGAGGCTGGTGAGCAGGCGGTAAGCATAGGGGAATATATGTTTGTTTATATCATGTTCCCTCCCAGGCTGCCCCGCTAACTCCCATCTACATCCCTGTCGTTTGAGAGAGACTGCGCTTCTCCCTGCCTTTGGCTCCAACTGTATTTGGTCTGAGCTGGGATGTCTTCAGGCAAGACTGAGCATATACACGGCATAAAAACATTGTTTCCAAGCAAGTAAACACTTAGAGCGCAGGAGCTGCCAACTCTCCGACACTCCTGTGCAGAAGATTAACACATCAGGCTGAAGTGTTGTTTTCTGCCTCTACCTACATGACTGAGTTTACCCCAGAGACCGCAAGCATGAGCCATCTGAGCTTCGTCTCCCTTCACTGCATTTATTCCCATTCGCAGGAGTAAAACCCGTGTGCAGGATACTCACTGACTGACAAATTGGGCTGTTATTACATCCCTAAAGATGTTTAAACTTGTTTTATGGGTTGAGGGTAGTTTCCTTCAAACCAGTCATTTCAGGAATCCTGGCACTGTTATCTCACCATAACTCAAAAACTGGGCTGGAATGGAAAGTGTAGATGAAAGGATTAGTGTTTTTTAAGTACTTGAAGCCCCACACAGTCAGCGGCTCCAAAAACACTGATAACACGGTTTGGAAACGATGCAGCGACTTGGTGTTCGAGTTAGTTCACAGGTTCAGACCAATCGGTGCGGGTTTCAGTTTTATGATTAGCGCCGGCCGGCTTCCAAAAACAATTTACAACACAAACAGTTTTAGAGAGCGGCGTCTCGGAATGCGGTGGGAAGGATGTAGCCGAGGTTAAGGAAGAGCTGCGTTTGGATCGGAGGGTCAGTCCTGATTTGTGGTGAGGTGCCCTGATTAAACGATTTTATTTTCTACAGATGCAGCGGAAAAAATAATAATCCAGATGAGTCATTTTGTCTTAAAATAAGTGCATTTGTTCTTGAATTGAGGAGTTAAAAGAGACACTTTGCCAATAGAAGAAGACAATTTACACTTAAAATGAGAAAACATTGTCTTATTTCAAGTGAATTTTTATCTAATTATCTTATTTTAAGAGTTAAAATACTCATTCCATTGGCAAATTATCTCATTTACCTGCTCAAATTAAGGGTAAATACACCTAATTTAAGAAATGTTATTTATTTTTAGGGAAGAAATCTAATTTATGGTGAAGTTTGTTATTTTGTCATGAAATGCAGAAAGCTTTTACTCTGAATGTTTACCGTGTAGTAACTGATTTCTTTTTTCCTTTCCTATTAAGGCCAAATGACTGGAATGCAAAACAAAAAGTCAATAAATGTTGTTTGGAATGCGGAACAAATGCCTCAGATTGAGATCAGCTCCTCTGCAATAACTAAGGCTGCTTCCCTTAACAACACTTATCTAAACTTTAGTTTGGGGTCAGAGGTCAAGTCTTGGCCGGCTGCGCAGTGCTTAGCAGAGCTCTATCACAT